GTTATTATTCTTCTTTCCGACGTCGGAAACCGCCATAGAATCTTTATCCTTACTCACAAAACAAGTTAAATCCACCGGTTCCGGTACATGCGGCGGCGTCGCGCTCCGGATTAACGCCCAGTTCACGCCTTCGAAGAACGGGTGCTGCTTGATCTCCGTCGCTCCTCGTTTATAAGCGATTCGTTTTTGTGGCTCTTTCACCAATAATCCTTTGATCAGATCTCTTGCCGCCGAGCTCACATGAGGAAGCTCCGGGAATCTCAGAGCTTGTCCGATCACGTTGTGTAGCGTCGCGCGGTTTCCTTGTCCTTTAAACGGCGTAGATCCGTAGAGAAGCTCGTAGATGAAGATCCCCAAGGTCCACCAATCGACGGCGCTTCCGTGTCCTTCTCCTCGGATTATCTCCGGTGCTAAATACTCGTGTGTTCCGACGAATGACATCGATTTCACGTTTGTTGGCTCCGCCATGAGTTCCGGTAAGGATCCGTTTACGAAAAGCCCAAAATCCGATTTCGCCTTTCGATTTTTCTTAGAGGATTGCAGGATTCGCGGGAAGAAGGTTGATGGTTGGATACAACTTTGAACCGCCGCTTCTTCCTCGATGAGTCCGACTGGTCTACCGCTTCCGCCGCCGCCTCCGACATGAACGGAGGAGGATTTGACGAGAGTTGGACTAACGGAGCAACGGAGGGATAAATCGAAATCGGAGAGCATAATGTGTCCATCGTCTCTGACTAGAACATTCTCTGGCTTCAAATCACGGTATACAATTCCGAGCATGTGTAAATACTCTAATGCTAATAGCACTTCAGAAGCAAAGAATCTGTAAGAAGAATACGAAAACGATTTGATGAATGTTTCTTTGATGTTTCTGCAATCAAATTTGATTTCAATACTAACCTCGCTGCGTCTTCGGTGAAGCATTTGTTAGGCTGTTTCTGTCTCAAGGAATAGAGATTGCCACCGCCGCAAAACTCCATTACAAGGCAATAGTGTTTATCGGTTTCGAAATGAGAATATAATGTAGGCAAGAAGGGGTGATCAAGCTGAGATAAGATCTCTCTCTCGGTTTGAGCTCGCAATAGTTTGTTCCTGCTAGCTAAGGAAGCTTTGTCCATAACTTTCATGGCGAAATAGGTGTTGGTTCCTCTTAGCTCGACTAGGTGAACGCTACCAATGTCTCCATAACCGAGGCGTTTCAGAAGGCGGAAATCGCTTATCCCGAGCTGGACTCCTCTTGAGGTTAACGTATTCACAGCATCCCACCTAATGTCACCACCAGTGTGTGGCTTAGAGGGATTAGAGGAAGTGCTCTCAATGCTATTGCTTCTTGAGCTCATATTGCTAGTACTGTTACTG